ACTCGTAGGGATTGACGTTTCAGTTGTCATGCCAAGATCGATTCATGGGAGTATGTCGCCACCAGTCTAATTACAAGCATGACCTTCATTCTACATTCACTGTGGAATTCACAGTGAATTGTACATACATATTTGTACTCATCCACGAGTTTCTTGCTGACTTTGGTAAAATCGAAGCTAAGGAGATTTTTTGGTGTGGTGGTAATAGAAAAAAAATGTTGAAAGGGGCGCTGTTCGGCTTACTAGTGGGTGGACATGTTGCACTTTTGCTGGTTCCTGTTAATCTGCACGTCTCATCCTGACAAGACCTGTAGATACTTGTCAAGTGTAAAAGAAGTTCATGCTGTTGTATAGCTTCACAGGAATTCATAGGTCTCCAAAGGAAGCATGGTCGGTGATTGATGGGAACTAGCAATGGCCCCACCAAGCCGACTGCGACCGAACTGCGCCGGCTTGTCTACATTTTTCACTAACTTCCCTTCCTGTGATCAGCAAACTGAAGGAATCCTTTTCTGCCGTTCTCATTCAGCTGTTTCGCTGTTATACTCACTTGGATTGTTGTATAGTTCATTCTCGTGCACGTAATATTTGATATCATGCCTACTGAAATGGTGGCAAAGAGTAAAGGTAGCTCCATTAGTCCCCGTTCATCAGTCATCACGTTATCAGGAGTTGAAATTCGATATAGCAGCTTCTGTTTCTTTCTTTTTCCTCACTTTTATGGCACATTAGTCCTTTAAGATTCTCGAATCGCTACTCAACCGAGATAAACACCGTCGTGGAAATGAATCGCTGAACAGTTTGGTCACGCTGTTTGAAGGGCGGATCAGTGAAGTCAAAAGCCTTCTCGAGAGAGGTTAGTGAGATTCAGATAGTTTGCTTTTTCCTTTTTTCTTTTTGTACTCGCTTGTCGTCATTTCGGAGTTTTATGGATGTTTTTTCGCCTCTGAGGCTGCGCTCATACTTTGCATCAGCGTTTTGTGCGATTAGGCAAGTGTAGCTATCGATCCAGCTTGAGCGTACGCCGGCGTCTTGAGCGTTACCACGGGTAGTTTTGAGCTTTTTTTGAGCAGTCGCTTGAGACACTGCCATACGCTCAAAACGCTGACGTGAAGTAAGAAGGCGGCTTGATGTGGTTGGGGGAGACAGGTCATGCCGCGACTGGAGCTACTCGTGTGCGCTTTTCGGATGTAGTAACCTTTTCCATCACTCATGTTCAGTTTTGGAAGAGCCCAGACGACTGA